ACTGGTGCCGGCTCGAGCAAATCGATGAGTAACGGGATGTCGAGTGATCAAGTGATCACTGGAATCACAACACGGGACAGGGAGGATGCAAGGGAGAGGGGAGGGGAGGTGGCCAGGACATGGCGTTGGAGTCAGATGAAACGCCGAGGCTGCTCCGCTTGCCTTTCTCAGCGCGGAGCTGACTTGTTTTCTGATTATTGGGGCGCAGTGGTCTCTGGTGAATTCAATCATCAGGCGCAGGTCACACTCTGGCGAGCCTATCAAATTTGTTTCTAAAACCTAAGTGAAACGCTACGCTAGACCTCAGCTATTGTCGCTTCCTATGGCCCTGGAGAGCCCCGGGTGCTGGCATGACATGACGCAGGGCCAGCGTTAGAGGCTTTCTCTGACCACAGTGAAGTTAAGCTAAAACTGTGTAACGAAAAAGCTAAATCACTGAACAAAAAGCAAGGGAGGAAAAAAACCCCACCAAATTTGAGTATTAAGCAGTAAACTTATAGTACCCCTGGGGAAAGGCTAAATCACAGTGGGAATTAGGAAATTATACCATGTCATTACATTTCTGCATTTAAAAATTTATGAGAATAGATGGGGCTGAAATGATAGCACAGCGGGTAGGGCATTTGCCTTGCAAACGGCCGACCTGGGTTCGATTCCCAGCATCCCTTATGGTCCCCTGAGCACCGCCAGGAGTAATTCCTGAGTGCAAAGCCAGGAGTAACCCTGAGCATCGTTGGATGTGACACGTTGTTCATCGATTTGCTCGAGCGGGCCCAGTAACGTCTCCATTGGAGACTTTGTTGTTACTGTGTTTGGCATATCGAATACGTCACAGGGAGCTTGCCAGGCTCTGCGTGCGGGCGAGATACTCTCGGTAGCTTGCCGGGCTCTCTGAGAGGGGCGGAGGAATCGAACTCGGGTCGGCCCTCAAAAAGCAAAAAAAAAAAAAAAGAGCGAATATAGCTAAAGCCAAGCTTCTATATGTATATATTCATTAGAGCCTGAAAAAAAGAATGATTAAAGAATTTATCTAAGATGGGATAGTGGAGTTTTGGCCTTGCACGTGGCCAACTTCGGTTTGATCCCTGGCACCCATATGGTCCCTCCAGCCTGCCAGGAGTGATCCCTGAGTGCAGAACCAGGAGTAAGCGCTGAGCACTGCCAGGTGTGGTCAAATGGCGGAATGAATACATAAAAAGTGCCCCCCGTCTTAAAAAATGTGCAAGGCATTGGACAAGAACTGAGTGTTAAAAGTAGATAAAGGAATATCCCTGATAACATTTCAGTATCTGTTTTGCAAATTACAGTGCCCAAAAGGAGGGAAGGAGAGAGAGAGAGAGAGAGAGAGAGAGAGAGAGAGAGAGAGAGAGAGAGAGAGAGAGAGAGAAATGCTACCATAGACTCAGGCTGGGGCGTGGGGTGGGGGTTGATGGGAGAGAAACTGGGACACACTGGTGCTGAGGAATGTGCACTGGTGGAAGGATGAGTTTTAGAACACTGTATGACTGAACCTCATCATGAACTGCTTTGTAAGGATCTATCTCACAGTGACTCAATTAAAAAGAATTTTTTAATGTTCAAGATAAAACCATGCTGAGATACTCCCATGCAATCACAGTGGCTAAGGAGCAAATCTACAGCTTGGAGGGGTGGCAGATGAATGGGCCACCCACCTGCCCCAGGCAGGAACGAAGCAGAACCGTCCTGGAAAAGTGTGTTTGCAGAGTCTCAAGTGGAACACACACACACACACACACACACACACACACACACACACACACACACACACTCTACCACTCAGAAAATGTCATGCCTGAGGTACCCCCAAGAGCGATGCAGAGTGAGGTCTCCAGAGTGCTTCTAGGGCAAGGTACACAGCACAGGTCTGCAGCGTGACTGAGCCTCTACCCCAGGAACTCCACAATGGGATTTCCTGGAACCTGTGACCATGTTACCTTTCGTGCAAAGGACTCTGCAGCTCTAAAAGTGAAGGATGCCTTGAGTGGGAGTTGATTGGGGGGGAGGGTGTTCTCCAGACCAGTGGTCCCTGGAATCACACGCATCCTTATATAGAAGGAGAGCAGCAGAGGTCAGAGGAGAGAACAGATGCTCGGCTGCTTTGAAGACGGGGAGACGGACCCGGAGCCAAGAAACACATGTGGTCTCCAGAAAACAAGGAAATAAATTCTCCCTGAAAGTCTCCCAAAGTAACACAACCCCGAGGACCCGTGTAAACTACTGACCCCCGGAACTAGAACAAATTTGTGTTGTTCGTGGAAGTCACTGAAGCCGGGGTGTCTGGTTACAGGAACAAGAGCAAAACCAAGACGAGATGGGCTCGAGCAAAACCAGCTCGAGTGCCCACCATGAGCAAGATGAATAAAGACATGATGGTTGATCCCTGTCAGGAGGATCTCTGCAGAAATACGCACCGGCCGTGAGAGCCTCGCCCAAGAGCAGGATGGACTGTTGAGAACAGGCGCCTGAACACAGAGGCGGAAGAATAACACGCGTGCTTGGAGCCGGGGCTAGAGCCGGTGTCCCTGGCCCCCTCCGAGGTCTCGCAGAGAGAGGCCCTGTCGAGAGAGGGATGGGAGCGTAGGAAGGCCCCTGCTGGGCCGCTCGCTGACCTTCAGAAGCTTGGCAGGGCTAGCCCTGGGAATAAGATCATTTGAACAGGAGCTATTTGGAAATTCCTGTTTACATTCGGCCCTTGGCTTCTCTGACTACAATCTATACTCAGGGGCCGGCCTCCAGAAAGTGGAACAATAGGATAATCGGAGGAAAGGCATCCCCTTTGATTACCTTTCAGAGGGGAGTAACGGCTTAGGGAAGCTCAGGGGCCCCTGGCGTGCCCGCTTGCCAAGCAGGAAGCAGGCGAGGGTGGAGCCGGCCCTTCCCCCGTAGCAGGGGCCTTCTGGAGGAAGACTCCAAGGGCCGCTTGGCTGGTTGACAGGACTCAAGACTAAAAATAAATCCTCAGGGGTGGTTAGCGGAGGACTTGGCAAACCCGGGGCCTTGGAACGGATCCCCCTGGGAGGAAATCTGGGCGCAGCTGCTGACCTGGGGGAGAGGGCGGAGCCTCCACTTACCTGGCGGGGAACATTCCGCCCGGGTCGCCACATCTGAAGGGAACAAGGGTGACTCAGAATCTGCGTGTTCGGTCTCTAGCTATGTCATGGAAAAACAAGAATGAAAGTCATGGGGGCGGCCTGTGCGTTCTCGGCTCTTTCACACCCAGGGATGCGGCTGCCTCGCTAGAAGCCACAGGACGGCCTGGTGGAGGGGTTGGGGTCCCACCAAGCACTCTTGTCCCTTTGACACGGCCTTTTGGGGATACTGGGTTCTTTCCTGGACAAGCTCTGCTCTCACTTGCCTCTCCATCCCAGGCCTGCTTCATTCTGGATGGTTCAAGAATCCAGGCCTGGTTCATTCTGGGTGGGTTTGTGGATGGTTCTGGAAGGTTTGAGAATCCAGGCCCGGTTCATTCTGGGTGGGTTTGGGGATGATTCTGGATTGTTCAAGAATCCAGCCTGGTTCATTCTGGGTGGGTTTGTGGATGGTTCTGGAAGGTTCGAGAATCCAGGCCCGGTTCATTCTGGGTGGGTTTGTGGATGATTCTGGAAGGTTCGAGAATCCAGGCCCGGTTCATTCTGGGTGGGTTTGGGGATGGTTCTGGAAGGTTCGATAATCCAAGCCTGGTTCATTCTGGGTGGGTTTGTGGATGGTTCTGGAAGGTTCAAGAATTCAGGCCTGGTTCATTCTAGGTGGGTTTGTGGATGGTTCTGGAAGGTTCAAAAATCTAGGCCTAATTCATTCTGAATGACTTTTTGGATGGTTCTGGAAGGTTCAAGAATCCAGGACTGGTTCTTTGTGGATGGTTCTGGAAGTTCAAGAATCCAGGCCTGGTTCATTCTGGATGGGTTTTTGGATGTTTTTGGAAGGTCCGAGAATCCAGGCCTGGTTTATTCTGGGTGGGTTTGTGGATGGTTCTGGAAGGTTCGAGAATCCAGGCCTGGTTCACTCTGGGTGGGTTTGTGGATGGTTCTGGAAGGTTTGAGAATCCAGGCCTGGTTCATTCTGGGTGGGTTTGTGGATGATTCTGGAAGGTTCGAGAATCCAGGCCTGGTTCATTCTGGGTGGCTTGTGGCAGGCCCGCCCCAGACAGCCCACAAGAGCTTTTCCAGGAAAGAGTTTGCTTCCCCCTTCCATGCCCCTGTCTTGTGGTTTCAGTTCCACAGAAAGACTCACTTTACCTGTCGTTCAAGTTTAATGCAGGTTTTTTTCTGCAAGGCTCAACCCAGTGGCGGCCTGAGCCCCTGGTTCTCCCTGGGTTTCCACCATTGTCGGCGGTTTCTCTTTCCCAGTCTTCGGGTTTCCAGCTCTGTCGGAAGTGAAACCCCTCTCCAGACCTGAGGCGGAGGCACCCCGAATGCAAATGACCGGCAACAACCAAAGCAGAGCTTCTGTGGTTCGGGAGAGGCTGGGCTCTGGAAACAAGGATCACGCGCCCCAGCTGAAATTGTTAGGGACTAGCAAACAAATGAGGGTTTGTTGCCCCAAGCAGCCCGGCGGGTGCCCCGGAAACGGCACCAAATAGGTAAATGGTTGCCTGCTTTCCCTATTTTAATACCTCAGGATTGGCAAATGGGTCGGGAAACAATGATGCCATTGATTCAGTCGAGATTCAGTTCCAGCTTCGAAACCCGATGCGGCCTCCCTCAGCCCGCAGTATAGCAACAGGCAATCTATACCCCATGCCATGTAAACATCGACTCCTTCTCAGCAGGAAAGGTTACATCTATAAGCGGAGATGGTGGTTTTGATCTTGCCAAATGCTATCACTGCATCTATTGACAGGATCCTACGATTTTTAGTCTTTCCTTTACTACATTCTTGAAGTGGTAGCTTAGGTTATTGATGGAAGCTGTTTCTTTTGTTTGTTTTAGGTGTTTATACAAAAGATTTCTCTCCAAAAACTTTGTTCAGAGTAGTTTCCAGGCCTCTTGGTGCCTCCCAAGACTGTATCCCTTGCATAGACTGTATAGGAAGTGGAGACACAGTGAATCCGCCCATGTTCACCTCAGCCCTGCCCTTTGCTGGGTCTGTACTGGGAATGGGGGACATGGAAAAAAAGCTTTTCTTCTAAGTTTTCACAGGAAATTTTCCTGCTAGTTATCCATGGAATGGAAATTATACTATTAAATTTCTAAAAGTCAGAAAAATGTTGTGATCTTTTTCTGTTGTTGATTTATAATAATAATTAATAATATATCAATTCCAGTATCAGAAAATATACCTTGCATGAGCTCATTTATTTTTAAAAAACAGAAATAAAGATTATAAAAAGTCCCATCAAATGCGAATCAAAATGACAATGAGTGAATAAATGGCATCATAACTCAGAAAGTCCAGGAATAATTAGTGTTGGTGGGGAGGCGGTGAAAAGGGAGCCCTTATTCAGTGTTGGGGGAACTGCTGTCTGCTTCATTCTCTTTGTAATCTTGGGAGGGGGAGGCACACCTGCTGTGATTACGGTTTACTCTGACTCTGCCCTCAGGAATCTCTTCTGGTGGTGCTTGAGAGGTCATATGTGTGCCTGGGGCTCAAACCTGAGTCAGTGCATGGAAGGCAAGTGCCCTACCCACTGTACTATTGCTCCAGCAATAGTGCATTCTCTTTGGAAAACCTTATGGAGACTTCTCAAAAAATTAAAAATGGAATTGCCATATGACCCACAGATCCTACTATTTGATAACTAATCTGAGAACACAAAAACATTAACCCAGAACAATATATATGCCATGGGCCCAGAGAGATAGCACCAGGGCACTTGCATATGGGCTGACCCTGGTTTAGTCCCTGTCACTATATATAACCTCCACTACCCAACCGCCACCACACTCCAGGCCGCTTTTCGGAACATGCGGCCGCTGTGGCCGCGCGACACATCATAAGACACTTCCTACCCACTTTCCACAATTACCACACCATGTTTGATAGGGTTCATACAGTAGGCAACAAATCATAGAGAGAAATATATATATAGGACTCTCGGAGAGCCCAGCAAGCTACCAAGAGTATCCCGCCCACACGGGCAGAGCCTGGCAAGCTCTCTGTGGCATATTCGATATGCCAAAACCAGTAACTATAACAGGTCTCATTCCCCTGACCCCAAAAGAGCCTCTAATCGTTATTAAAGACGAGTAAGGACAAAGAAGAAATCCGAATGGCAAAAAAGCACATGAGAAAATGGTCTACATCATTAATCATCAGGGAGATGCAGATCAAAACCACAATGAGATACCATCTCACACCTCAGAGACTGGCCCAAATTCAAAAGAACAAAAGCAACCGATGCTGGCGTGGATGTGGCGAGAAAGGGACACTCCTTCACTGTTGGTGGGAATGTCCACTGGTTCAGCCCTTCTGGAAAACAGTATGGACGATTCTCAAAAAATTAGAAATTGAGCTCCCATTTGACCCAGCAATACCACTCCTGGGAATATATCCCAGAGAGGCAAAAATGTATAGTCGAAGTGACATCTGCACTTGTTTGTTCATTGCAGCACTCTTTACAATAGCCAGAAACTGGAAGAAACCTGAATGCCCAAGAACAGATGACTGGTTAAAGAAACTTTGGTACATCTACACAATGGAGTACTATGTAGCTCTTAGAAAAGATGAAGTCATGAAATTTACATACAAGTGGTACAATATGGAAAGTATCATGCTAAGCGAAATGAGTCAGAAAGAGAGGGATAGACATAGAAAGATTGCATTCATCTGGGGGATATAAAGTAACAAAGTATGAGATTAATACCCAAGAATAGCTGAGATCAGCACCAGGAGGATTACTCCATAACTTAGAGGCCAGCCGGGTATCCTAGAGGAAAGGGCTATTCAGATAGAGAAGGGAGCACCAAATAAAGGATGTTTGGAGGATCCTCCCAGGAGGGGAGATGCATGTCGAAATTAGACTATGGACTGAACATGTTTGCCACTCAATGCCTCTTTTGCAGACCACAACACCCAAAAGGAGAGAGAGAACACAGGGGATTGCCCTGCCACAGAGACGGGGGGATGGGGGGATGGGGGTGGGAGGGATATTATCCATGGTGGTGGAAAATGGGCACTGGTGGAGGGATGGGTATCTGATCATTGTATAATTGAAACCAAAGCACAAAAAATTGTAAATCTACAACTTTAAAAAAAATAAAATAAAATAAAGGGGAAAAAAAAAAAAAGACGAGTAAGGAGAGGCTGCTAAAATCTCAGGGCTGGGATGAATAGAGACATTACTGGTGCCCACTCGAGTAAATCGATGAACAACAGGATGACAGTGATACAGTGATCCCATATATGGTTCCCCTGAACACTGCCAGGAGTGATCCCTGAGCCCAGAGCCAGAAGTAAATCCTGAGCACTTCCAGGGGTGACCCGAAACCAAAATGAAAAGTCTAAGCACACCTGTATTTATCGCAGCATGGTTTACAATAGCCAAGATCTGGGGTTAAAAATCCAGATACGCAACAACAGGTAAATGGCTAAAGAAGTTTTAGGCTATTACACGATGAAATACTATTCAACCATATGTAAAGATGAAATCCTGTATTTCTCTACAATTTGGAAGAAGCTGGGAGGGTGGGTGTGTTAAATGAAGTAAATCAGAAGGAGGACAAATACAGGATGACCTCATTCTTCTGTGGTACATGGCAGGGAAAAGCAAGTTTCTAGTTGCCAACAATTCATTATAGACAGTCACTAATGCCAACAATTCTTTAGACTTTGGTGACAGAACTGAGGTTACCAAGCAGCGGGGCAAAAATGTGGAGAAGAAGAAGTGGAAAGAGGTGACATAGGACAGAGTCGTTGGAACTTTGTACACCAAAAGCATAAAGATCGGGGCTGGAGCAATGGAACAGCAGGTCGGGTGCTTGCCTTTCAAGCAGCTGACTTGGGTTCATCCCTGGCCCCTAATAGGGTCTCCCAAGCACCACCAGGAGTGATTCCTGAGCATAGAGCCAGGAGTAAGTCTTGAGCACGGGGAGGTGTGGCCCCAAACACTAAAATAAAAGCATAAACATCCACACTATTATAATCAGGTTAGCTTAACGATGATTTAAAAAAAAAGAGAGAGAGAGCCTTCTCAGAGTACCGGCTTAATGGACCGTTTCCAGTGTCATCTTGAGATCCCAGACTGTGTAACACACAGATCTGTTCTTTCCAAAGGGTCATAATTCAGGAGAGAGAAGGTTGTCTGGTTTCAGAAACCGTAAACTTCTTTATTCCTCTTCATATAAGAATCCCCCCCCCCCGTTCCTGGAAATTGATCCCAAGAAATTTTTGTCTAACATTGCCATATTGTTACCTCAAGATGTCGATTACTATGGAATCCTTATGGAAGGATGAATGTGAAGAAAGGACCTGTCATAAATTATCCAGGATCAGAATAGCTACATCAATCACGGCTTTTTATCCCGTCGAATTTTATGCTGCGATTGAAGGTTGCGATGACATAACCCCAAGGAAGAATGCTGATAATGTCACATTCATTGGAGATGACAGGATACAAAATTACCCACACATAATTAGGAGTATATAAAATACTGAGCTCTGAAGACCGCCTGCACGGGAACACTGAGACCCGGCACAGATGAATTGAGGTGGGCTTATTTTTCTTTCGAGATCCCCTTTCACATTATTTTAATGTTTATAATAGTTACAAATGAAAAGACAAATCGCAATGCCAAAATGACTGTGGAGCAGACGGCAGATTGTTGGTGTCAGAGGTTTTGGCTCGAGTGGGTTTTGCGACATGATTAACTGTCATGCTTCTTAACGCTGCTCAAGCACCACTTGTTCTGGCAAGTTCTCCGAGGTGGGCAGCTGCCGAGGGCAGAGGATGTATTTCATTGTGGGCTGGGTGTGTGCTGGGGAGAAGCAATCTCTGTTCTGGGGGCATTAATAACGCTATGCCTGCCAGAACGTTCCTTCCCAGATACCTGGGCCAATGACCTTGACGCAACTTGGGGGCCAACCAGAGGCCCGTGGGACCTTTTTGTTTTTGTTTTGTTAGGGGGCCACACCTGGCTGTGCTCAGGGCTTCCTCCTGGCTCTGTGGTCTGGGGTGCCGTATGTGATGCCTTGCCTGCTATGCTACCTCTCTACCCCCCGGGTACCTTCAAACTCCGTTAACTTGGGAGTTGGTTTTGAGTATGTCTCCCCAAGACATGCCCCATTTGGCATATTGATTACCTTGAGTTAAAGGTGCCTGAGAAATTGCAGGCTCAAGAAAAGCCCCCTGACCTCCCTTGTTTCCTTGAAACAGGAGATGAAAAATGGAGAGAGAGAGAGAGAGAGAGAGAGAGAGAGAGTAGAGAAATGCCTGCCGTACAGGGGGTGGGGTAGCTTGAAAGGATGGGAGGGAAACTGGGGACACTGGTGCTGAGAAATTACACCGGTGGAGGGACGGGTGTTGGAACATTGTATGACCGAAACCCAATGATGAACAATTTTGTAATGCTCTATCTCACGGTGATTCAATAAAATAAAAGAAGAAAGGAAGGAAGGAAGGAAGGAAGGAAGGAAGGAAGGAAGGAAGAAAAAAAGAAAGAAAGAAAGAAAGAAAGAAAGAAAGAAAGAAAGAAAGAAAGAAAGAACAAGATCATCCTACCCAAAGTATCATACAGATTCACTGCAGGCCAATAAAATTTCCCATAGCATAAAAAAAAAAATGGTATCCGCCAGGAAAATGGAGAGATAGAGGCCATTTTCATCTTCAGAGGGAAGTTGGGGCTGAGGCTCTGTTTAACAGACAACCTTGTTAAACTAATCCCCTTCTTAGCCGGCTGATCTCAGCCACCGATTTGCGGCTCCCAGCCCCTGGCCGAAATGCCTATGTCCTGTCCTCTCTGCACACACGCGGGGTTCCCGGCTGAGGTGCCATTGAAGTTGGAATGCTCAGATACCATTTTGAGTCCATTTCCTTTTGATTTCCCCTGCCTGATGTGCTCTGCGCCATTAATAAACCTTTTCCTCTGGTTCATCTTTTTTTAGAATCCCAGTGGAAGCTGAGGAAGGGCAGAGGTACGGCTTCACTCCCCTGTTGACAACCACAAACGATTCC